TCAATACATCTCTTAATCGAAGCCCGAGTGCCAGGATGAGGCTTGAGAGGAGAGGCCCAGCCCTGCCCCATCCTCAGGCCAGACACCGTGCCTGAGACAGAGCTGGCTTTTAAGGACACCAGCACTCCATCTGCTGAGAAGTGGACCACCTTCTACCTACCTCTCTTCATACTCAAACAGCTTTTATTTTATTTTTATTTTTGATGAGGCAGTAAAAAATATTAATTTGTTCTCATGTTCCATCTCACAGTAGGTGACTGGTTAACAACAATACATTATACATTCCAACACTTGTTTTTAAGGCCACTAGATGTCTGAATTCTAAAGCAATCGTAAACAACCATAAATCTCTAGTTTAACTGTATCCTAGCCTAATAAGACTTTTTCTGGTAAATTGTCGACTTTTCCAAGAAAAGCAAATTTAGGATTTAAAAAATCCCAACAAACTACAGTTTTGTAAAATCTAGAAAAGAACTTGGACATCACATGGTTTTTTGTCCTCACTTCACAGGTGAGGGAAGGGGGCCGGAGGAGACCACAGACACACCCGAGTCCACGTAGCCCAGCTCCCACTAAGACCCCTTTCTGGGTGGCCCACTGGCCTCAGCAGGTGTTGCCAGGGCTGGCTGACAGGAAAGGAGCATTTCCTCCAGCTGAATGTGGACTCAGAGGTGCAACTGACAGTCTCTAGGACAATGCAGATTCCTAAGTGTTCCATGAGCAGGAAGTGTCTTCAAGTCCACGTCACTTTCTGAAGCCTCCCCACTCCCTCAGGCAGCTTTCAGAGGCAACATGTTCCATGTCCCCCCACGTGCTCCTAGGCAGACCACCCACCGCCCAGGGAACCTCACCGGTTGACACCGCTCCCAGGCAGGTGCAGGATGTCTGTTCTACATCGAGTGACTAGATAGGTCTAGAGCCACGTACCGACTCGGAGGACAAAGTCATTGTAAGACTGGTAGTTGATCTCATCCAGGACATCAAACATGTCAATGGCAAAGTCCGCCAGCGTGCTGAGGAGGGAGGAGATGGACTTCTTAGCCTAGGTGTGAACAGACAGGGATCATTATGTTTGGGGGTGCCAGGGCAGGAGAGGGGCAGGGACCAGCTTGCACCAGTCACAGGACTGGGGATTTGATTCCCACGTCAACAACACAGCAGCCCCGTGGACTCCAGGTGCTTTTGGTGCTGGCTGAGGGCACATTTATCATCCTATTCTACAGGTGGGAGACTGAGGTAGAGGCAGGGGACTGCCCAAGGCTCTGGCTTCTGAGGGGCAGAGACAGGACTCACCTGGAGGCCGTCTGAGCCCAGACAAGCCCTTCTGCAGGAGTGGGGTGGAGCATCCCTGCAAGGGGGAGACCATGTGTCCAAACTACTGCTGGGACAACGGTGTCATCGCCCATTGCCAAGGTGCAAAATAGAGACAGCAGACACCTGCTGGGGAGCAATTCCAACTTTCTTCCTTGACACTGAGACCATGTCCTTGAGTATGTATGTGACAAGGTCCTTTCTTTTGTGAAATAGCGACAGTTGTAAGGTTTCTAATTTTTTTTTAAGGAAGTTTTATTAGTCCTCAAAGTTAG